GATGATAAAAATATATAGTATTAATCGTTTTTCTGGTCTATTGGCTCAAATGAGAAACTCGGTTGGAGTGTTGAATGAAGAGCTAGACCCCACCAATTTATACAAGCAGCTAGAAACCTTACCAACTGAGCCAATTGGCACTGTCACCGTTCAAACCTCTCCTACTGTTATCTTAATTGAACTTTTGGACTTGAGAAACTTCCATTACCATCCTACTACCTAATTACCCCATTCTGAATTCCATCTTCTAACTGTTAGTGTTTCGTGTTTCTTTTTTGCCTGATGAGGCAAATTCATTAGTCATATGCTTTGGTTACAGTCCTTCTCAATACAAGAGAGTAGAAAGGAAGGACAGAGAGTCCAGGTCTGAGTTTGAGAAATAGATAAAGCAAAACTAACTATACAATGAGCAGCAGAATTAGTAGACCTAGGAGCATAATGAACTGAGCACTGAGAGGTTTGGTTCAAGTAAGCTCTGCAATCAGCAATAACGTTTTGTAGTCGCTAAGGAGGAGATTTGCCAGTCTCTAACAAAGCTTGAGCAACTTGAAGTGCATCCCCCTCAATTTGGACCAAATATAACCCAAATTCTAGGATGAATTTTAAAGCTTCAAGTAATGCCAAAGCCTCTGTTTCAGTAGCGGAGCATCATGGTATTTTCATTGCTCTTCCAAAGACAAAGGCACCATTAGGATCGCGTATAAGAAAATTAACCTACTCCAGAATTAGCATCTCCTATAGCACCATCAAAATTTAGTTTAAACATGCCCATAGGTCATAGGTGGCCTTGTCCAACATCTGTTACGGTCATGGGTTAGAGACTGCACAGTTAATGGATTGGTTTTATATTACTTGGATTCATTTGTTGAATTAATTTGCTCCTCAATTTGTGCATGGCCCGATTCATGATAATGGAATACTGACCACCCAATTACCCAATGCAGCCTTGCACCTAGATTTCTAAATGTGCCATAAAGTGATTGCACATTTAGCAAATAAAGAAACTGTTGAGGAATTTTTGGTCCACACTAAACAATCCTCTCTGTGGAGTATATCTTCTGGGAGGCGAATCTGTTTAATAGCATTGATTCCACCTACTGTATAATGTATAATATTGTTCCAATACATCACCTCTCCACTCATGAGTGTGTATCTATTAGGTGGGCTACCTTGGTACATTGGGTACTATGAACCTGGATTGCATCCATGACTGAATTTGAAAAATCTGGTATCCATGGATCAGACTTGTATCAATGTTCCATACATTGCCTACTACCCCAAAGGGCCCATACGCTGCGCCATATACCAATGAAGCATTTTTCTTGTATTTTCCAGTCCAGAATGTACGTACCACCAGAGCTGAGGTATTTAGCTCGTAAGATTTGGGCCCATAAAGCATTAGTCTTTAAGAATCTGCAACATAACCTCATAGGTAAAGCTCTATTTTGTTGTAAGACATTTTTAAGGCCAAGCCCACCCTCTTCCTTTGCTTTAGTCATAAGATTCCAGTTTGTCAAGGGAATTAGTGTTTCGTGTTTAGTGTTTTGTTTGGGACCCACGTTAAAATAAACGCCTCTCTTGACTTGATTTTTATTTTAGTTAGAAAACAAAGGTTGATTTTGATTTCTAATTAACAACTTTCTAATTTCACAAATCAGCATGCATGATTGAAGAAGATCGAGCCAGAATGATTGAGACACACCACCGCTTATGTATAATAATATTCAAATAAATTTTATTTAAAACTTTTTTTGGTAAAGAAATCTATTTTGATTGGGAGGCCTAGCCGCATTTTTGAACAAAAACAAAACTCTCCTCCACTCCTGATTCCTAACGGTTATAAGCCACCTACTTACTTAAAAAGTGAAGTGAAGGCCGAAGTTTTCGATCGAATGACCCAACCCAATCCATCTTTTTGATTCTTGTCGTAACACAACTACTAGTACTAGTAGGATTGGAAATTTGGAATCCATTCTTGTTTTGACTCATAACAA